TACCTTAAATTATAGGGGCCTTAATCGTGTAATATTATGATTCTAAGTATATTCCTTATAAGGTATATACCTCCAATTATAAGGGCATGTTCTTATAAGGTATATACCTTAAACTATAGGGGCCTTAAGAGAAAGTCAGTGCTTATCGAAGTCGTGCTCACACATGTGTCGCTCCCACTATCTCACCCAAAGGGTCCGAGTTATAGTATAGCGTATACTTCGGGGGCCCAAATACCTGCAAAGTAGCTACCCTATTGGTACTTGGACCCTTTGGGTCAATGGCCGTGTTCATTGTGATTAGCAATTACAGTAATGCGCTGCTGCATATGCACACCATCTTCGGTGGTTGTCATCATTCTGGCCGCTACTGACCGATGTCTTCCGTTGTTGCTGCTGCAGCTACTGTTGCTTTCAATGTGTTGTCCTCAAGTCAAGTATTCCCACAGCCATTTATTAAAGTGCTTCCTTGCTAGGGGCTGTCCAAGTTCGCAACCGCAAGGGCAGTTGCGTAACGCCTTCAGGAGTCGTAGCTCCTTTGCCATCCTTCAAATCGCCAACGGTCGGTTGTAAGGAAACTCGCTTCAGCAGCTCGTGCCCTTCATCGTGTTGTTAGCAGAAACAGCACGCGATGTCCAGCAGGACCTGCACAAAGTGCAGCCACTGACCTCCGATTTAGCTGTGAGAAGAATGGTTTGCCTTGCTCGTCTTTTGCTCAAGCATGCGCAGGCTAGCAGAATCTGCACTCACTTCCACTCAACGATTATGTTGTTGACTATACCGCTGCTTGTTTGATCTTATCCTCGTAGTGCAAATGGTTACTCCGACTAAGTCTAGGGTTTGGGGTCTAGGGTTCGGCATTGGTACAGTGTTTTCGTTAAGTTCATCTCAGTGGCTCTGTGCTGCTCACACCCGGCCTGGCTGTGTAAGGGCTACGTTTGACGCAGCATTTATCGACCTTACTAAACCCTAAACCCTAAACCCTAAACCCTAAACCCTAAACCCCTAAACCCTAAACCCTCATGACCAATGGTCTAAGCCCCCTTCCTCTTAGTCGTGCTGAATCGTCTCCGGGATTTCCGACCGTCAAGTTCAAGATTTCCAACCAGAATCTTGCCCCTGCGAAAGTGTCGGCCAAGTATGCACCCTCAATCCGTAAATCCCTAAACCTTAAATCAATAAATCCCGAAACCCTAAACCCCAAACCCCTAAATCCTTTCACGACTGTGAATTTTGGTGTTGGCCTGGCTTCAGGCGCCGACCTCTCTCGCGCCATTTAATCTTCCAGCCGCTCGCCAGCACTTCCACACTTCCGCGTTCGGGCAGAGCCGTAGCAGGGTTTAGGGTTTAGGGTTTAGGGTTTAGGTAGCTCTTCGGAAGAGAGAGATGACGAATGACGAGTGATGTCGATGGTGGTCATGATGATGGTGGCGCTGCTGCTGATGATGATGGGGAGGACGACGACGGGGACCATGATGACGACATGGTCTTGATGAGATGAGCAATGAGGGTGGTGGTGCATGAAGAAGAAGAAGGTGATGATGATAAGTTTGTTGATGGTGATGATGATGCTGCTGATGTTGAGTGTTAAGTTGTTCAAGATGCTTATGAACAAAAACTGAAAGATGATGAGTAGGAGGATGTGGATGATGAGCTTTGTGATGACGTAGCGGGTGATGGTGATGGTGATGATGATGATGATGATGATGATGGTCATAGGCTAGGTCTGGTATATCAAAAGTTAGGAGATCAGTTGTCGAAGGGATCCTGGCAGGTCCCCCATACGGTCGCGGGAGTTCGCAATCGCTGAAGCGCCCGGGCACCTGGAGCACAGCTGTCGAATTCGAGCTGGCACCGGGACAGATGTAGATGTAGGTCCTGGTAGGTAATCCTTCGCGTAATGCACTGCGGGTTGCAAGACCACGTCAGCTGCAAGCACTACAGGCCGGCCTGAATACATGAGAAGAGCTTCGGAAGCATGTGGGTAGTTCTCTAAATTAGGATCCCTTTTTAGGTCCCCAATATAATACGGCACCCTTATAAAAGGGACCCTAATTTAGAGAACTGCCCATGTGGTTTGGCGCTAGCAGTTGGTGAGATTCTGGATCGGCCTTGCTGAGACATCTGCCTTTTGAGCTCCTGCGGACTCCTTCGGCTCAAGGAAGCCTTGAAGGATCATGGGACTTAGTAAGTAGGGTTTAGGGTTTAGGGCTTAGGGTCTAGGGATTGACAGGATCATGGGACTTAGTAAGTGGGGTTATAACTAAGGTAACTATACTTATTACCCCAATTAAGGGACTTACTTACTAAGTCCCACGATCCTTTAAGGATAGGCCTAAACCCTAAACCCTAAACCCTAAACCCTAAACCCTAAACCCTAAACCCTAAACCCTAAACCCTAAACCCTAAACCCTAAACCCTAAACCCTACATCCATTCTGGGCCAAATTCAGGAAAGCCCGAGGTCATGTTGCAGCAACTTCTGCTGGTCCTGATCTTTCCCCATGCTGCCGTAGGCAACTAGGGTTTTAGGGTTTAGGGTTTAGGGTTTAGGGTTTAGGGTTTTGGGAGACTTTTAAGAATTCCCTGATGGTTTTTAAAAAGGTAATTATTCATAAATCTCCAAACTAAACCCTAAACCCTCAACCCTCAACCCAGGCAATTCTTCCGGCGACTCCTCCGGAGCTACGGGCTCCTCGGGAGAAACTGGCGGAGGCCCTGAGCCCGGATCCGTTGGGTGCTCCATTTCTCAGCTGGTCTGCGTGCCTGGGTTCTTGTGAAGAAACTTCGGTTAAGTTACCGTGTATTAAAATAGGGGCCTATTACACGATAGTAGACAAATATGACTTCCTTCTTCTGGCAACTTAAATTCTTGATCCTTATAGCAACTTAGCAAGAACCCAGGTGACTTACGCGTACGATGCAGCAGGGGAAGTCGACTGGGGAAGTAGCTTGCAGTCGGTGACGTGCGCCACGGCGGAGGACGGTTGCCCTTGCAACGAGCAGTGGGAGATCCAATGCATCGATGCCGGCTTGAAGTACTGCGAGAGGGCAAGCCTGGGATGCTCCAGCGACAACAGCTCATCCAAGGCTGGATTCCGCAGCCTCCATGAGCTGCGTGACATGGTAGCGAGATGGCAAGCAAGCGAAGTGAATGCAGAAGAACGGTCAAAGATAGTCCTGAAGTACGGGGAAGTCGCAGACTGGAAGGTGTCTCTGGTGACGAGCATGCGCGGGCTTTTCATGGCTTCGGCCTTCAATGAAGCAATTGGCATGTGGGATACATCAGCCGTTACCGACATGACGGACATGTTCAACGGTGCAAAGGCCTTCAATCAAGACATTGGCAGCTGGGACACATCAAGCGTCATAAGCATGGGGAGCATGTTTCGGTCTGCATTTGCATTCAACCAGGACATTGGCGGCTGGGACACTTCAAGGGTCACGAGCATGGATAGCATGTTTTACTATGCAAGCGACTTCAATGAGAACATTGCCAGCTGGGACACCTGAAAAGTCACAAGCATGGATAGCATGTTTTACTATGCAAATGCCTTCAACAACGGCATTGGTGGATGGAACACCTCAGCCGTGAATTCCATGAGCACGATGTTCGAAGGTGCAGTTGCCTTCAACCAGGACATTGGCAGCTGGGACACCTCAAGCATCACAAGCATGGGCAGGATGTTCTACGGTGCAAGGGCCTTCAACCAGGACATTGGCGGGTGGGACACCTCAAGCGTCACCAGCATGGGCAGCATGTTTTCCTGGGCAAGCGCCTTCAACCAGGACATTGGCAGCTGGGACACCTCCAGCGTCACGAACGTGGATAGCATGTTTTACTATGCAGGCGCCTTCAACCAGGACATTGGCAGCTGGGACACCTCAAGCGTCACAAGCATGGAATGGATGTTCTGCGGAGCAAGCGCCTTCAACCAGGACATTGGCAGCTGGGACACCTCAAGCGTCGCAAGCATGGACTGGATGTTCTATGGGGTAAGCGCCCCAAGCGCCTTCAACCAGGACATTGGCAGCTGGGAGACCGCAAGAGTCAAAAGCATGCAGAGCATGTTCAGGGATGCAGTTGCCTTCAACCAGGACATCGGTAGGTGGGACACCTCCAGTGTGATAAACATGGACAGGATGTTCAGCGGGGCAGCTGCTTTCAACCAGGACATTGGCAGCTGGGACACCTCAAGCGTCACAAGAATGATTGGCATGTTCAAAAGTGCGAGTAGTTTCGACCAAGATATCGGAGGATGGGATACTTCAAATGTCAAAGACACGAGCTACATGTTCCAATTTGCGAGCGCCTTTAACCAGGCGCTATACACGTGGGATGTTGCAGGCGCCCTCACCACAGCCATGTTCGAAGGTGCGGTGCTTTTTGATGTGTCGCCCTGCGGTGCTGGCATGACATCCGCACAGAATGGACTCGGCTGCAGAACATTCCCGGCAGGGCGTTTCTCCTCTGAAGATTCTGACACTTGCGAACAGTGTGGCCCGAACGAGGTGCCACTTCCGGACCTGAGTAGGTGCATGGCTTGTTCAGCTTCCCAGTATGCACCGCGAGGTTCGCAGACATGTTTGCCCTGTCAGTGGCCTCTCCTGGTTGTGGAAGAAGGCTGTGCATGGTGGCACCTGCCCGCAGCTGCAGGGTGCCTTGCCTTATTGATTGTGATCTTGGGCTTCGTGTTCTCATACCGTCGCACGAGGAGGGCTGCGAAAGCCGAGAATCTAATGGCACAGCTATTTCAAGACCTGTGGGATGAAGGTCCAAATACAGCCGTGCAGTACCAGAGGTTGCTCCGTGGGCTGGGGGTTGACAAGGCCACTGCTGCTGGGCGCATCCAGGAATTCCGCCGGCTGCAGAGCCAGAGAGGCGGCGTGAGCATGAGTTACCTCCTCTCATCCGACTTCCGTGACTTAGCACAAAAGCGCACAGGCCAAAGCGACCCCACCTTCAATGAGATGAAAGATGCCTTCTGGTTGTCAGATGACCCGATAGGGCAGAAGGTGATCTGCCCCCGCGATGGTCGAGAGGGCTGCGCGCTCGTCGACTGGATCCCGCGCCAGCATCGGCGACAGCAAACTCACTTCATGTCCTGGACGTGGCGATACCACCTGTCGCAAATTACAAGTGCTCTTGACATGCACAGAAGTAGCAGTAGCATGCCCGAGCAGATGCCGGAGGATGTGTTCTTCTACATGTGTTTTTTCGTCAACAATCAGTTTAGGATTATCGTGGAGGCCACTGGCTTAGGAAGCGACAATCTCGAGGAGGTGTTCGAAAGCAACTTACGACGAATCGGTCGCATGATCGCCATCCTAGACACTTGGGATGAACCTGTGTACTTGACGCGCATCTGGACTGTGTACGAGCAGTTCGTGGCATCCAAATCGGGGATTGAGGTGAGGTTTGCAATGCCCCAGCAAGCTTCCGAGTCGCTAGAGCTGCAAGTAAGTCGCGGACGCGAAGGTATCAACACTGTGACGAAGTCGGTGAGCTGCGTTGATGCGATGAATGCGCGCGCATGGAAACAGGAGGACGAGATGAAGGTGAAGCTACTCATACAGCAGACGGTGGGCTTCAAGCATGTCAACAATCATGTGACCGAAGTCAGGGCGACATGGATCGGGGACGTGGTTCGAGACAAAGTTCAGCGCGAAATTGATTCGGACCGCACCGGAAGCTTGATGGAGTCGTATACCGATGTCTCCTTAAAGGACGACTACTTAGAGGTTTGAGTCCTTGCCTACATCAGCTCGATCAATGGCGAGGACTGTCTGGTTTAAGCAACCATGCGTTTCAGAATGCCCCATTTGGGCCCAGAGCGCTTTTCCGAACTCCCATGCATGTTGTAGTTCTCCGCCCTGGGCACCCCGTGACCTTGCATTCGCGCATTTGCGATGTGATGGGCTCTAGTGGCCTATGTCTTCTCGCCATCCCCCACTTGAATTGGGGCGGCCGCGGGTTTTGATCCAATGCAGTTGCCTTAACAAAGACGGCGTGTCAACCCCTGCTAAGGCATTTACTAGGAACCTGCATAACATTGGGTCTTAAAACGATACCAATAACGTTTTGGGGTTCCGTATTCTACTATTTATTTTGTAACATACCCCAAAACCCTATCCTAAGTATTTATTGCAAGGCCCCTATATCTAAACCCCTACAGAAATCCGTACAAGAACCCCTGAAAGGAACCCTATTCCGATTATTATGGACGCCCTACCCTAAACCCTAAACCC